AATGTTAATATTATATTCAAAGTTCATTAAATTAGACACTGACATTCCAGTCGATGGTGCTGAAGAACTGATGCCTCTTGATCTCCTCCACGCCGTCTGGTCCAGCTCCTACAAATAAACACAACATCACTGTTTGATCCCCTCAGATAGTGAACGACCTCACAAATATATAGTTTCATTGTTAAATATCAAACAAACAGGAGGAAATAGTGCATTTGTTGGGGACTATTTTCAGTCGCAGATGAATCTACAGTTTGGTAGGTTTGGTTTCAACAGCCCAAAATACTTTAGGTTGAAACTTTTCCTTCAGCCAGTACAGACTCAGTAGGGTTCTTTGGTTTCAGCTGTTTGTGATGACTATAAATCAGATGAGGGGACCCTGACTCATCTTTTCTGGGCTCTCCCTAAAAATAAATAAAATACTGAACATACTAAGTATAATCATTTGGAAACCAATTGACCCGAACTGTGTACTTGCTGTTTTAGGTTTGAGTCAATGTGTTTGTATTGTAATGTCTATTCTGACAAATACCCCAAATACAACTAATACTGAAAACTAATAAGAAACATTTTTAAACAATAAAAATTAAACTTTTTGGAAACTAAACTGAAAATAAAAGCCAAATAAAACACAAAGCTAGAATAACAGCAGGATGGAAGCGGCTCAATATTATGGTTTCTGATCTCTGTTTGGAAGAGATTTGGGTACTTCCCATCTGACTCATACTGACTCTTCTGCAAATAAGTAGTGCATGTTGATTTATGCGCCCCTCAAGTTCAGCTTGATTTAATATATTGAAATTTTTTTAAATTAAACTCTACTCTATTGTACAACGTGTGGATGTTTCTGGATTGTTTACCTAATCTGTTGCCGGGGTTGCGTTTGAAAAGGTTCCTGAGGAGACTCTGAGCTTCCGAACTCAAAAACTGCGGCATTCCCAACTTGGCCCTGCGAAAAAGACAAAGAGCGTTGGTATAAATGTTTTTTTTAAGCAGACAGAATACCTGCAGTGTTATCAACCGTCCATATTGTATATCCAATCTGAAAGTATCTGAAAGACTAGACGACAATATGCTACACACACACACACACACACACACACACACAGGAAACACACTCAGCAGTCTGCAGAGAGTCCACTCAGCATTTCTCTACAGACGGACTGAGAATGAAAGCGAGACGACGGAGGAAGCAGGACGGGTTAATACTTCCTTTGGATTGTTTTTCTTTTCTCCGGCATGATTCTCTCTTTCACCTCTCACCCCTCCCTTTCTCCTCCAACCTAATCTTCTCTCACCGTCTCCTCCCTCACTGTTACAAATTTGCTATCAGAGCACTCGAGTCCCATTGCTTTTATCTCTGCTCGTCTTCCTCCTGAGTGCTGCACTTTATCTCCTCTAAAATAAATCCTTCCACTTTCTCCTGGGCTGCCGGGAGGGAGGGGAGTCTCACACTGTCTCTCTCGTACTGTCTCTCCCTCCGTCTCTTCTCAGATGTACAGTAAGCTGTAATAAAAGCTGTTAGGTGGTGATTGGATAGGAGCGCACCGACAGTATAAAGTGTCTTACTTGAGGATCATGGTCATCGTCTCTTTCCGGTCTTTGCCTTGAAACGGCAGCGTTCCCGTCAGCATCTCAAACTGAGAGGAAGAACAGAACATGTCCACGGTCAGAACTTGTTGTTGTTTCTTGTTGTTTTGTTGCTATGTTAAAGGTCCAGTGTGTAACATTTAGGAGGAGCTATTGGCACAAATGGAATATAACATTCATAGGAATGTTTTCTTTAGTGTATAATAAGATTAGTTGTGTTCTTGTTCCCTTACAATGAGACATTTCTGGGGACAACAGGGACATTTGTGTTTTTGCAAGCGTTTCGCGGCCACCGTAGTTTCTCCTTCAAGCTTCAAAGCAGAGGGTGAAACGAGGAAGTCCTACACACTGGACCTTTAACTGTGACACATACAAGCAATGTTCAAACTTTACTCTGGGTCTCGGACGGAGCCCACTCACTCACTCACGAAAGTTTGTTTTATTCTGAAAGTTAAAGTGAGTATGGTGACCTCAAGAATCTTTATTAAAGTGAATTAGTGATGAATCAACCTTCGACCAACGAATCATACATCAATAACAGCCTAAATTTACACCTGATCCACAATGATGAAGATATAGAAATGCGTGGCAAAAATAGCATATTGTCAGTAATTAAGGGAGCTCGTGTCTTATTAAGAGCAACCTGTCGCTCGCACCCTGCATACAAAGGTCTGAGTTCACCTCTGTTTTGGTGCTATACAAATAAAACTGAACTGAATTGAAAGTCCTCCTGCACACTGTCTCCTCCTGAAGGCCGCCTCACGCTGTGTGATTTCAAACGGACCACGATGACAGTTGTAAACCGGGAGATTAATGCGGTGAAATGTTTTGGTCAGCTTTGGATTTCGACACTGGAGGCAGAAATTTAGGATCAAATTCTGATAACGTGACTGCTGCTGTGTATACAAACATTCATCTGCACAGTGTGTGACGAGCACTGGACCTGCGAGAACCTGATATCGCACAGTGTCCACAGGAAGTCGCCACAGCTCAGTGGTCAGCGCACTAGCTACTGCAGCATGTGAAGCATTATCAGAGTTTCATCAGTTTAGATTAACTGAGCTGATTGTTTTCAGGCTCCAGACCCAAACTAAAACTAAAGGAGTTCACGCTGTCTCCAAAACCAACATATGGAAACAATTCTTCAAAGTGTCGGCGAACAAAGCAAAGCCAAAGCACATTTTAATTAAGACATCATCTGCATGAATCTAATCCTCTAGTGAGCGGCGGTGGCAGAGGCAGATGTGAAGGCTCGAGTGTGAGATGAAACCGTGAAGACAAGAAAGTGTGAACTTTGACAGAGGTGTCAGAAACATGAATAATGATGTCTGTTTTTACAATAAATAATGTTTCATATTACAAACGTTTGAATTCTGTGACATTCAGCCGTCACAACGTACATTTTCAGATGAGTGACTTTATTTGTTCCATTAAATTCCGCTTTTCCACCGCATGGTACAGATTGACTCGACTCTACTACTTTTGTTTTGGTTCCACCTCAATCGAGGGTTCAATTGAGTTGAGCTGATGATAAAATGTGAAGTGAAAACACTGCAGACGGTCACCGGACATCCTGCACAAACAGAGCATTTCTAAATAGTCAAGCTTTCACCAACAGTGATTAGGGATATCGAATACTGATAAGAGTACTTAATAACACCGTTACAGTTCTAACAGCTCAGATGTTCCATGTTTTAGATGTTAAAAAGTTGCTCAAAAATTGCCTCTCCTCTACACACCTGTTCGACTGACGGCATTTTTGTCACTGTGGTCTATTGATCAAGAACGCCATCCCTTCGTATCCTCTGTTGTGAGAGTAGCAGCTCCTGTGTTTGTGGGTGTACTTAGTGTGTGGAAGAGACAAATCTAAATGTAATAAATGATGATGTATCATTATAGATTAATCTTCCCAGCAGCATAAAGGAATCTAAATGAGCTCCCCATCTACCAGCGTTTAACCTTGTGATCAGATCAGTGTTGTGGCGAGATTACAGAGTGGTGACTATAGCCCGAGAGAGGCAGCTGCATGCTGAATATCGGATCCAATTATCGGCCTTGTTCCTAACTGCGATTATTTAACAGCAGGGAGCTCTGTGGCGTCATTCCCGTGAACCAGCAGTGTGATCAAACAAACAAACCGCCTCCTCTCACCATCAGCACGCCGTACGACCACCAGTCGGCGCTGTGCGTGTGTCCTCGCCTGTTCACCACCTCCGGAGCCATGTACTCCACCGTCCCACAGAAGGAGTAGGCCTTGTTCTCGTGGTCTATCGACTCCTTACTGAGGCCAAAGTCTGAACACACAGGTGATAAAAGGCTTATCAGACTTTACAGCAGCTTGAGACAAAGGCCACATAATGGAGTCTCACACAGGTACTTCTACCTGTGTACTTGTGTGTACTGTGTACTGTGTGTGTACTGTGTGTGTATCTGTGTACTGTGTTTGTACTGTGTGTACTGTGTGTGTTATGTTTCTGTTAGCTAGGTGCTACAGATGTAAAATTTAACATGAAATGAATAAAATAAAGAACACGTGTAGACGAGTAAACGTGTAAAAGACTCACACAAGTGACGTAGTTTTGTCTCGTTTCAATGTCACGCAGCAGTCCAGATGAAAACACACCCACACATATATACACAGAAACACACACATACAGAGAATAGGTGTAATATTACGCACCGGTCAGCTTGATGTGTCCCTCCTCATCCAGCAGGATGCTGAAATAACAGAAATGGGTTTTTTTTTATATTCTGAAGGAAATAAGGTCTGTAGGCTGTGTGTGTGTGTGT